CACCATAGTGTTTCTGCAGTTCATCCAGGTTACATCCATCAGCGTTTTGGTCCTTTTTGTTGCCAAGTAGTTTTCCATTGGGCATCGGTGCCACATGACGTGGGGTTTTATGTCCTGTATAGAGATGTGTGGCAGAGCGGTCTAGGTGCTGCAGGAGTGTATGTAGTCTTTCTACAGGGAAAGACTTTTTGCAGCATTCTGCTTCACCTTTCTGCAGCATTCAAGGAAGGCAGAGAGGATGAGCAAATAAACCATATTTGGGGGGAGTTTTGTTTTTATCTAGTCCTGAAATAGTTTGGCCTCTCAGAATAACCCCTGGATGTGGCAGCTGGTTGGATATTGATGTGTTTGCCTTTCTGGAAATGAGAGATTGGAATTCCCAGTGGTAAAAACTTGTTGTCAGAGGGGATCCTTTTGGACTTCTGTATAACTTCCGCCATCCCTGCTGATGGTGGACTACATGGCTCTGTGTTTGGTGCTCACTAAGTTCAAGGACCCAGATACATAGGCACTGTGGAGCCTGCCCAGCACCAGGCTGCCAGGTACCCCACCCCTACCCTACCACCTGTGCTGAGGTGTCCTGCTTTGCCCTGGCCCCACCTTGGCTCAGCGGTTCAGTTTAGCCCACTGGGGGAAGACAGCAGCGCAGAACTGCAATCTGCAATATTTCATTAACAACTCAATTACTGTGAGCCCATAACCACTTTGAGAATCACCTTGTAAAGAGACAGTGGCTATTAGGGCTGGTGAGAAAGAAAAGATGATAGCTAGAGAGGATGGGGTTTGAGGTGACGAAATGGCCTAAAATTGGCTCTGGTAATAATTGCACATATCTGTAAATATACTAAATACCATTAAATTACACACTTTGAGTGGGCAAATTATGTGGTATGTGAATTATAGCTCGATAAAGCTGTATTCTGTTTTTTAAAAAGCAATGTAGTGTTACAGCAATGACAAGACTAGTAGAGGAATAGGGAAAAAATCACGTAGAAATTTTATTCTTTTGAAGTGACATGACCTGTGTTGCCAAATATCCTAATTTTCTGCACAGGTCCAGTTTGATGGGAGGCCTGGATGTAGAAAGTGGATGGGCTTTGGTAAGTGTCAGGTGGACCTGAGTGTGAATCCCATTGTGCCGTCATTAGTGGGATGACCATGGGCAGGTTGCTTCATCTCTGTGGTGATTTTCCTTTCCTTTCTAAAATATTCTTTTAAGAGAGCTTGGTAAACAGCAGCCATTTTCACTGTGTGACAGCCATATTACTAAAGGCCTAGGATAAAAGAAGCAGCCTTGTTAGAGGCTTGTCCGGTTGGATGTCTTTGAGTTATGCTGGGGGTGTGAAACCTCCTGCTTGAATTGTCACGAGAGTCCCTGCTGTGTGCCGTGGTGTGTGGTGTTCAGCTGCTGAGGGACTGTGCTGCTAGTCTTTAGCTGACCGGCCGAACTCTCTGTTTCTGAATTTTTTCTGCCTTTATCCACATGGTTTGAGTAGACTGGTGGTGAGCTCTTGGAGAAATAACTCATGTGCCCTTGTTTGGGAAGTTCTCCCTGACCTTGCTGTCTGGTCTGGTTCACTGCAGTGTCCCTCAGCCTTTGTGACGCCTTGATTCTAGCACGTATCCCTAACACCTTTATTGTTTTTACTTTTCTCTGACCGTATACTGTGGGCCAGTTCAGGGTAGACACCGTGGCTTCTTCAACTGTGGGTCCTTACAGCTCTGAGCACTATGCTTGGCATTAATGTTTGTTAAATGAGTGCCCAATGGTTTCAAGTCTTAAGTCTTTGGTGACAGAAACCAGATCAGAACTGGAAATTCCAGCTTAGGCACTGCATGCCAGAGGCTAGCAGATGAGTTCCCTGGAGCAGTGTTTCTGCCATAGCACCACCTGGGAGTGTGTGCCACTGCCCCGGGACAGGGACAGGGACAGGGTAACGGCCTCAGCCAGCCTTGTCCTCTGTCGAACATATGCCCTGCCTGGAATCCACTGTGAGGTGTGGTGGCATTTGGGGTAGGGAGAGAGTGCCCCCAGCCACTCTGAAAAGCTGGTCTCATTGTTTCATAGTTTTTTTTTGAGACAGAGCCTCAAGCTGTCCCCCTGGGTAGAGTGCTGTGGCATCACAGCTCACAGCAACCTCCAACTCCTGGGCTCAAGTGAGTCTCCTGCCTTAGCCTCCCAAGTAGCTGGGACCACAGGTGCCCACCACAACGCCCGGCTATTTTTTTGGTTGCAGCCATCGTTGTTGTTTGGCGGGCCAGGGCTGGATTTAAACCCGCCACCTTAGGTGTATGTGGCTGGCGCCTTAGCCACTTGAGCCACAGGCGCTGAGCCTGTTTCATAGTTTTAACACTGCATTCTGAATTCACTGCAAATTCAGCTTTTTCCTTGCCCCCTCACATTTTCTAGTGACCGGGCACAAAGGACCCAGAAGGCCTCCACCTGCACCAGGCATCCAGGCCACACTTTTCCTGGGGGTCCATGAGGATATTGTGGTGGCTGCTGTAGGCCAGTCTTCGCCTGTTTGAGGCCTAGAATGACCCTCAGCCTTCACCCTCCATCCTGGGGCCTCTTCCCTCACCCTCTACCCCCAACCCTCATTCTGCCCTGGGCCTTTTCCTCCTTTTCCAAATTCAGTTTTTTATGATTCTTCAGGGATGCCAAGACACAGGGGCTGCATGGTGCAGCTGGGGCTCCAGAGGCTGACGGCCTGGGCTCAAGTCCTGGCTCCCCTTCTACTAGCTGCGGGCCACAGGGCAAGTTATGTGACCTTGCTGTACCTCAGCATCTTGCTTGGGAAACAGAGGTAACAATACTTATCCTCATAGAGCCATTTTTATGGTCGACCACAATAAAGTAAGCATTGTATAAATGTTTGAGTAGCCTGCGTTTGTTGGATTAAAAAAGAGAGAGAGAGAATGAGACTCTTAAACAGAATGAATAAAAAAGAAACAAAGAGAATACGCTAAATGTACCTCACTCTGATTGTTACCCTTCCACAAAAAAGCTTTCTGGTACCCTGGCTTGATGAGGAGAACAGTGGGCCTGCTGTCCTGGAACTTAGCAGCCCACCTGGTACTGCGACGTGCATCTGTCTGCGATGGTGCAGTGGCATTACCTGAGTGGCCTTTTGGGAGACTGTGAAGTCTGTGTTTTGCTGACTTCTCTGCTGTTTTTATTTTAGGGGGAGGGGGAGGACTGTGTGAGGTGGGGCGGTAAAATAATTTTCCAAGTAGTATAAATTGTCATCATATGTCAAGTAATAGTCTCATGTTGTGTGGTCTTTGTTTTATTGGTGTTCTCTGTTAAGCAATTTCTTTTTTTTTTTTTTTTTTTTTTTGAGACACTCTCATTATGTTGCCCTCGGTAGAGTGCTGTGGCGTTGTAAGTCACAGCAAACTCCAACTCTTGGGCTTAAGTGATTCTCTTGCCTCAGCCTCCCAAGTAGCTGGGACCACAGGTGACTGTCACAGTGCCTGGCTATTTTTTTGTTGTAGTTGTCATTATTGTTTAGCAGGTCCGGGCCAGGATCAAACCTGCCAGCCTCAGGGTGTATGTGCCCGGCACCCTGACCACCAAGCTACAGGCGCCAAGCCTGTTAAGCAATTTCTAAACACAAGATTTTGGAAGGAGATATTTAACCTATTTTGTTATAAGGTAAGACCAAATAGCCAAAAAAGGCTGTGTTTTTTTTTTTTTCTTTTTTTAACGAGACAGAATTTTAAGCTGTTGCCCTGGTTAGAGTGCTATGGTGTTATAGCTCATAGCGGTCTCCAACTTTTGGGCTCAAGCGATCCTCTTGGCTAAGTTTTTTTTTTTTTTCTTCTATTTTTAGTGGAGACAGGGTCTTGCTTTTGCTCAGGCTGGTCTTGAACTCGTGAGCTCAAGCAGTTCACTCACCTCTGCAGTTTACTAAGCCTCCCAGAGTGCTAGGGTTATAGGTGTCATGTGGCTGTTTTAACTTAAAATTTTTGAATTAATATGAGTAGCAAGAATAGTGGTAAATAATATGTATCCAGGTAGCATGTTTTTCCCTCTGCAGTATGTATATTTTTAAAATTATTTTCCCATTTACATAATTCTCCTTGGGCCCATGTTGCAAGGAGCAAACCACCTTGAGCTAGCTGTGTTTCGGCCACTGCCACTGAAATGTAGGATCCCTGCTTGCCTTATGGGAGGGTGAGGGGGGAGTGTGTCTTCTGGGAGGGCAACTTGGGAAATTGAGCCCTGGAAATACTTGTTTCCTGTCTGCTTTTGTAGATGAGTTTCAGTATCTGCCCTTCGCTGTAGTGTTTGTATTTTTTGGTATTAAGACTTTTAAAAACTTTTTATTGTACACTACACAAGAGTGCGTGTCAGTGAAGGTTCACAGTGTGGTACACCCCTAGCAGGGTAAGAGCCTGCGCATGGCTCAGATGCCTCCTGCTGCCCCTGTCTGCTCTTAGTGGGGCCTCTCCTCGTGCCTTGTTGAAGGAGGATCTCTCCTTCCTCCTTAAAGTTATATCCGTGTTTCCCCCCCTCCCTTTCAATTCTTTGTAAAAATTGAATAAGTAGGGTGTTTTTAATTTTTACTTCTGGCTAATCACACTCACGTCTTAGGGAACAGCGGTGCTCCTGAGAGATGGTGGGGTCGCCTGTGTGTCTCCTACATGAGGCATCTGGTCAGCATCTTCTGCTGACAAGCTTTGCCTTGGTGTGCATAGTCGTGGAAAGAAGTTGAGTCCACGTGTGGGGATAATGTAAGGTTGTACCGGATGGGCTAAGACCCTGTCACGCTGACTACTGTGACACCTGGTTCCTTAGATACAGAGCACATCTGTCTTTCTCTCATAAGCAGAAGGATCTCAAATGCAAGAAGAAATTCTAAGACTGTCATGTATGGTGCAGCTTAGTTTGTATACACGTTGATTTTCTGGAGAGTAGTGTGAGTTCTGTGCTCAGACCTCTTCCCTGATTGTCCCTGGAAATACGAGGTTTCTGTTCGGCCACATTCTGACAAAAGCCTCAGTAGGCGGAGCGCAGCCGGAGAACCTGGTGCCTACAGCGAATGCAGCAGTGCAGGGGAATGACCTTATCTCAGCAGCCAACAGGAAATGATGAAATGTGCTAGGAGAATTCAGCTGAGAGAGGAGGTCGGATGTACCAGCAGGGTTGGGAAGAGGCAGGTACGGAAGCTGATCTGCAAAGTTCGCTGGCGACTGACAGAAAAACGTGAGTGTGCTATTTAAGGCTCACATTTCCTTTAAGGCAGACCTCTTTTGAAAGTAGAATTTTCATTGGTTTTTCCGTCCCTAGTGATTGATTTAGCAGAAATCTCACCTCCTAAGCAAGCACACCTAGTTTCAGTGCTCCTTGAAATGTTTAACTAGTTCAATATTAACCGAACAGTGTGGAATGTTTTATCCAGAATGCTTTGAGAAAATGTCAGAGTAAGTTTGACTTTCTTGGTGAATAGATTTTGGTTTCAGCAGATGAAAGATAGTGCTTTATAATTTTTGATTCTGGTTTTAGAACATATGTGCATGGAATAACTTTGCAACTTTGCTTTGGCTTGTTTAGACTAGCTGACATCCTTGTAACTGAATTTTTTTCTTACTAAGCAGCTAAATGAGTTTCTTGAGTTAACTGTTAATAGACTTTTCCCCCCTCTACTTTAAGGCATCATGTTTATTACATGCTGCCATTTTCTTTCTTCAACAAATCTAATGTACAAATATGTGAATATGACTTGTGAGAAAAAGTGAGCAGATAAGCTTTCCCCAGTGACTGTAACTGCTGCTTCCTGACTGTCTCCCCAGATGCCCTGAGTTGAAGTGCTGTTTGCTCCCGGTGCCTTCTGTCCTCTGGGGTCAGTTCTTTTTCTCGTCTTAGCTGGACCTTGGGCCCTTGTTCCCCTCTGAGTGCTGTCACTAGACACGTTGTTTATATTTTTATTGGATAGCAAAATATAAAACTTTTATTGTTTTAATAACTGAGCAGCCTTACATACCTAATTATTTCTTATCTTGGAAGCCATATTCTGGAATTGAAAATTTATAGCTCCCTTTTATATATGCAGCACTGTAAATTTAATTAGAGGATTTTTTCTTTTTAAAAAATGTTTTTCTTTTCTTTTATTCTTTCTTTATTTATTTAAGACAGAGTCTCACTATGTTGCCCTTGGTAGAGTGCTGTGGTCTCACAGCTCACAACAACCTCCAACTCTTGGGCTTAAGTGATTCTCTTGCCTCAGCCTCTGAATAGCTGGGACTACAGGTGCCCTCCACAATGCCTGGGTTTTTTTTGGGGTTTTTTTTTGTGGTTTTTAGCTGGGCTGGGTTCGAACCTGCCACCCTTGGTATATGGGGCCCGAGCTCTACTCACTGAGCCACAGGTGCCGCCCATTTTTTTTTTTTTTAATTTTGGATTTATATGAGGGTACATAGGATTTAATGGGAAGGCTTTTATTAAAAAAATCTTGATACTTAAGTGATCCATCACTAAGTGAATTATACTTATTGGATTACCTATTTCTGTGAACATTAAAAAGGCAGTATCCTCTTTCTGTTCTTCAGAAAATGCTGGTATGGTCTGTGCCACTCATGGGAACATGTTTTCGTGTTCGGTTGTTACCTACTGTGATTTGTGTATTTCTAATACATTTTGGGTTACATAGGAAAGGTTTCTAGAAATCCCCAAGGTAGATAGTATGTTTTTTAGACTTTAATCAGGTCCACCAATTTTATCGTTGGTCTTACAGCTCTAAATATTTCAGTCTTCAAATCTCTTCCTTCTTGACAATAAAACTTTTTGTTGAATTCTAGATGAACTGTAAGTGCTACATTTATGAAAATAATAAGTTTCATAACTTCAAACCAGAGCATTTGTTACAGGTGTGAAATTTATGGTAATAAGCAAAAATAAGCCCCTTCTTTTTTTTTTTTTTTTGCAGTTTTTGGCTGGGCTGGGTTTGAACCCGCCAGTTCCGGCATAAGGGACCAGTGCCCACTCTTTTGAGAGCCACAGTGTTATTCCTTTGAATTGTTTGCCTGTCTACACAATTCCGTTATTCATTTGGCAGCATAATTTAAAAGGTAGGAACATGATATATAGAATTGTCGTGGCTTTTGGAGTCAGTATGCCATGACCTACGCTTTTTTTTTTTTGAGACAGAGCCTTAAGCTGTCACCCTAGGTAGAGTGCTGTGGCATGATAGCTCACAGCAACCTCTAACTCCTGGGCTCAAGCGAGTCTCCTGCCTCAGTCTTCCAAGTAGCTGGGACTACAGGTGCCCGCTACAATGCCTGGCTATTTTTTGGTGGCAGCCATCATTGTTGTTTGACAGGCCTGGGCTGGATTCAAACCTGCCACCTTAGGTGTATATGGCTAGCGCCTTAGCCACTTGAGCCACAGGTGCCGAGCCCCTGCCCCCCTCCTTTTTTTTAGAGACAGAGTCTCACTTTATTGCCCCTCTGTAGAGTACGTGGCGTCACAGCTCACAGCAACCCCCAACTCCTGGGCTTAGGTGATTCTGTTGCCTCAGTCTCCCGAGTAGCTGGGACTATAAGTGCCCTCCACAATGCCCGGCTATTTTTTTGTTGCAGTTTGGCTGGGGCCAGGTTTGAGCCCTCCTTCCTTGGTATATGGGGCCAGCACCCTACTCACTGAGCCACAAGTGCCACCCTTTTTTTTTTTTTTTTTAAGACAGAGTCTCACTTTGTTGCCCTTGGTAGAGTGCTGTGGTGTCACAGCTCACAGCAACCTCCAACTCTTGGGCTTAAGTGATTCTCTTGCCTCAGCCTCCCATCCCAAGTAGCTGGGACTACAGGCACCCACAACATCCAGCTGTTTTTTTGTTGCAGTTGTCATTGTTGTTATGCAGGCCCAGGCTGGGTTTGAACCCGCCATCCTCGGTGTATGTGGCCTGGCCCTAACCACTGTGCTACGGGCACTAAGCCAGGACCCACACTTTAAGAAAGGAACTGAGACTCACAAGTGAAATGACAGGTCCAAGGTCACATGACTTGTTAGTAGCTGTCTCCTGACGTCTGGATCATTATCCTTGCCATTACAGTCATCTGCTTTTTCCACGTTTATTATCTCAAGATTTATAGCACTTGGCTAATAGTGGCTTTTTTCTTCTGATGAGTCCATTTTAATTTGTTTCATTTTCAAATGCGTAGCTTTTATTCGAAAACAATTTCCCTGTAAGTTCCATTTGGCACAGGTGTATAGTGAATTACCTCAAGTACAAAGAGCATTGATGTTTCTCCTTCTGAGAGATGCTTTTTCTAAAAGATAAGAATTCTCAATTTTACTAAGTTTTTTTTGCCTCTCCTCTGAACTAGGTCTTACTCCTTTGTTACTGATGTAAGTGAACCTCATTATAGGATTATCTGCTGGATGAGAATGCCAAAATTAATAAAATCATAACTAATAAAAGAAACAGACAAGTACTCAATTCTTCTTTGAAAGCATATTCTTCAGAATGTGAAAGAGAAACCCTGACCAGTTCAGCCCCAATTTTTTTAGGTTTTCTATGCTTTAGCCCCTATAATATGGAAATACTGACAACCCTAATTCTTGAGCTGGATTGAACAAGTTTTGGAATATGTAAGACGTTAAAATAATACATTATAATGTAAATAAAGAAGGAAATGCTTTAATAAATTAGTTAATACTTACACCTGTCCGGAAATCATTAAAAATATTCTCTGTGGGTGTAGTGCTCATCCTTGTAATCCTATCTCTTTGGGAAGCCAAGGTGGGAGAGGCCAAGAGTTCCAGACCAGCCTAAGCCAACAAGTGAGACCTGGTCTCCATAGGTGGGTGACTGTAGTCCCAGCTACTCAGAAGGCTGAGACTGAAAGATGGCTTGAGCCCAGGAGTTTGAGGTTGCTGTGATTTGGGCTGAGGCCATGGCACTCATGGCACTTGTTGGGCAACAAGGTGAGACTTTGTCTTAAAAAAAAAAAAAAAGAAAGAAAGAAACTTCTCTGGTATCTTAGGCCTTATAGCTGGATAAAGAGGAGTGTGGGCTCGGGTTCTATAGCTCAACCGGCTAAGGCGCCAGCCACGTACACCTAAGGTGGCGGGTTCGAATCCCCAGCCCGGACCCGCCAAACAACAATGATGGCTGCAACCAAAAAATAGCCAGGCGTTGTGGCGGGCGCCTGTGGTCCCAGCTACTTGGGAGGCAGAGGCAGGAGACTCGCTTGAGCCCATGAGTTGGAGGTTGCTGTGAGCTGTAATGCCACGGCACTCTACCCAGGGGGACAGCTTGAGGCTCTGTCTCAAAAAAAAAAAAAAAAAAAAGGAGTGTATATGTGTGAGTACAGTGAAATGGTAACATTAAAAAAAAGTCATTGATTTGAATGTGTGAGTGAGTGAATGAATGAATTATATAGTGTTCTCCTTTTTGTAGAGATTCTTGTTATTATTATTATTTTTTGAGACAGAGTCTCACTGTGTCACCCTCGGTAGAGTGTTATGGCTTCACAGCTCACAGCAACCCCAGCTATTGCAGTGCCATTGTTGTTTTAGCAGGCCCAGGCTGGGTTCGAACCAGCCAGCCTCAATGTGTGTGGCTGGCGCCGTAACCACTGTGCTTCAGGTGCTGAGCCATATTGTTATTTATTTTTTTATTTATTTGAGACAGAGCCTCAAGCTGTTGCCTTGGGTAGAGGTGCGTGGCATTACAGCTCACAGCAACCTCCAACTTCTGGGCTCAAGTGAGTCTCCTGCCTCTGCCTCCCAGGTAGCTGGGACTACAGGCGCCTGCCACACGCCCCACTATTTTTTGGTTGCAACCGTCACTGTTGTTTGGCAGGCCCTGGCTGGACTCGAACCCTCCAGCTCAGGTGTATGTGGCTGGCGCCTTAGCCACTTGAGCTATGGGCATCAAGCCTGAGCCATATTATTATTATTTTTTTGAGACAGAGTTTTATTTCGTTGCTCTCAGGAGAGTGCCATGGCATCATAGCTCACAACAACCTCAAACTCTCAGGCTCAAGCCATCTTCTTGCCCTGGCATCCTAAGTAGCTGGGACTATAGGTACCCTCCACAAGGCCCCGCTATTTTTAGAGATGGGGGTCTTAACTCTTGCTCAGGCACATCTCGTTCTGGCTCAGGCTAGTCTGGAACTCCTGAGCTCAGGCGATCCATCTTCCTAAGCCACCCAAAGTGCTAGGATTACAGGCATAAGCCACTGTGTCTGGCCTTTATTGTTATT